GCCAGCCAGTCGCCCCGTGGAATGCCCAGCCCCAGCCCCCACACCCCTACCCGGGGCCCTCCTGTTCATCTGGCAGCCCTTGCGCCCGCGGCCCCTCCCCACCTGGGGCCAGGCCCCTGGGCACCTGCCTGCAGGGGCAGAGGCCAGCACAGCCCCCCACATGGCACCAGGTGCGCCCCAGCTCCCACGAGCAAACGCACCTGGGGGCCACCCGGCCCGGCCCCGAGGGGTGCGGACGCTGACCTGACCAAGGGCGCCGTGAGGGCAGGGGCGGCCGGCCCGGGCGCGCTCAGATGGGCCCACACGGGCCACGCCCTGGAGGCCGAGCGGCGTGGGTCACTCTCGGCAGCACCCGGCTACGCGGCCCGAGTCCACGCCCGGCCAGGGAGGGGCCCTGGGGCGCAGCAGACCCGTCTGCCCGCTGCCCCTCAGCCGTGTGTCTCAGGGCCTCTGCCTGCTCTGCTCCCCACTGTCTCTGGGCGTCCTCTCACCACCCCCCTGCAGCTCTGGCCTGCACCCCAGTTCTCGCGTGCACCCACAAGGTGCCTTTCCAGCGTGGCCCTTGGAGGCCGGCCAGCGGGCAGGGGGGCGCCCTCTGGCACAGGTGACGGGCCGGTTCCTGTGGCCCGTGTCCTGCCCTCGCCCCCGGGGCCGCATGCCCCCGGCTTCCTGGGGAGCGCGGAGTGTCCGCTGGTCAGCGGCGAGCGCCGGGACGCACCTCGGCGGGGTGCCCTGCCCTCTGCCCCGCAGGTGCGCGCCCCGGGGGTGGGGCTGCGGCTCCCCGCCCACACGGCAAGACCACTCGGCTCGGGGGGCAGCGATCATGTTTATGTGACGCACGGAGACCGTTCCCGAGGCCACAGCGGCCACGCCCTCGCCCCAGTGTGTCCCTTGTCCAGGGCCCCCAGTAAAGGCCGCCGCTCCGAGGTGGCCCCGACCCGCCTGCGAGGCTGGGGGGCAGTCGGGGCTGAGGCCCGAGGCCCCAGCGGGCCTGGAGCTGGGTGGACGGTGGGCGGCGCCACGCTGGGCCGGAGGGCAGCGCCTGGCAGTGGTTCCGGAAGGCCGGCCAGCAGCGCCTCGGCCAGGCTGCAGCTGCTCCCCTCGCGCCGGCCGGCGGCTGGAGGCTTCCTCTGGCTTCTGCCTTCTTCGGAGGCGGCTGAGGCGCGTGGGGGGCTGGGTGTCTGGGCCCCGCGGGCGGTGTCTCCTCTTCAGAAGCCCCAGCTGGTCCCTCCTGACCGGACCCCACCTGCCAGCTCCGCACGGAGGTCAGCGCCAGCTGCCCGAGCAGCGCGAGGCCAGGCGTCGCCCCACAGCTGGGCGGGGCGTCCCCGCACGCACCCGACTGCTCGGCAGCCCCCTCCAAGCTGGGCAAGCGCTTGGCTGCCCCTCCCCAAGCACAGGCTGGGCAGGCCACCTGCACCCAGCGAACCCAGTCTGGCCACCCCTGGAGGCTGCCCCCACCCGTGGCCACGCCAGGAAGCCACCCGGCCCAGGGGCAGCGGTGAGCCTCCGGTGCAGGGGCTCCAGCCTGACCGTCTCTGCCCCCCGCTGCCCCGACTACTCGGGTCCCCCCTAGCGAAAACGTCTGTGATCAGACTGGGTCAGCAGCGCTTGAGCCTGGGGCCGCAGGCGGTCAGCCGCCGCCCTCCTCCCTCCCACCGGGGAGGCCGGGCCGGACAGCCCGGGCACTTGGAATGGAGACACAGGACTGACCACGCTGGGC